GCAATTCATTTGCTATTGCCTACCTTTGTTTCTGAACACGGTTCGGTTCACTAGGAGATTGTGTCAAAACCTTGCCAAACATGAGTGGTTTCATGACCATCACCGCAGGTCACTCCACAGCGATGATGTCCCTGAGCCACCTCCCAAGCGTGATTGCAACGTTGGCGTGGGTCCCTGAGCACGAAAGCGGAGATGAGCAGCTGGCGGAGATGGGCGGTGGAAAACGCTTGGTGCATAATCATATATAATAACACACACACACATATATATATATATAGATAGATAGATAGATAGATAGAGAGAGATTCGCCAGAGGCGGCTTGGAGCTGGATTTGATGCTTTTACGGTTCTAGGGATGAGCAGGGGTTGAGCCAGGGAGCTCTACGGATGAGCAAGGAAGCATGCGCACATGTCGTTTCAGCACATCTGGTTTTAGAGCATTGTGACCCCCGCCCAAGGGGCAATTTTGGTGGATGGAGAGTTGATTAGATGGCATAATCATGCACAATCCCAAAAGGTGATTATTATAAGGACCCCCGCAAAAATAGACGTGTAGGGGTGCCAGTGCCATCTCTGAAACCGCTGTAATGGGGTCATCTCCAGTCACTGTTGGACTGCCTTTGCTCCGACGGTCGTGGTCTTCGGATCTCAGGTGAATATGGGGCTGGCCATTGTGGGTTGCACGAGCCAGTTGGCCAGCATCTTCGCGAGCTTGCGGCAAAAGGAAGTCTTAGAGATGGTGGCCACTTGGAACTGGGCAGTTGGATTCAGGATATTCAGGTGTGGCGAAGAAAACATCGGGGATGTTGTAGAACACCATGATTTGCGTTCAATCAGTTTGGTTTGGATCCCTTGAACTTGTTTGTTGCCTTCTAGGCTATCGGAAAAGAGGGAATGGCTGCGCTGTGCTTAGTGTTAATTGTTCTTATTGGTTGTTGGTTGTTGTTGTTGTGGTTGTGAAGTTGTTGGTTGTTGGTTGGTTGTTTTTGTTGTTTTTGTTGTTTTTGTTCTTCTTGTTGTTGTTGTTGTTGTTGTTGTTGTTGTCCACCCGAGGGTTTCTAGGCGGTCAGTCCAATATTCAAGGGCTTGGCTTACGTGAAGCGAACAACTCCTTTGACTTCCGGGGGAACCCGGAGGTGTGCAAGAACTGCCTGATAGCATGACGACGACGACAGCCAATCCACAGACAATTGCAGTATTCCATCCAAAGATTCTCAATTTTTTGGAATGTAATTCATTGTGATTTCATCTCCATTCCTAAAAATGAAGCCCAGGCGATCGTGCTCATTGTCTTCATCGCGCTGCTGGAAGGGATTTTCGGTGCGATCAGCTTCAGCCACACGGGAGACTTCACAGCGGTTCTCTTGGAACTTGAAGCGGCCGCCCTGGGCCGCTTGGTAGTGATCGTCGACCGGCGCGCTACGCGCAGGTAGTGGAGGTTTCCATGCGGAGTGGTGGTCGACATCATGTGATGTAGATGACTCTTTTGACAAACAGATCACATGGAAGGGGGAACCCACCTCCTTGTATAAAGGAACATTGTCTTCCAGAGGCTCATTTCCATGTTAGTGAGTCGGAGTGTATTTTAGACCCTGCTTTCAGATGTCCACATCATGCTCCGGATGATTACACTCCCTGAAACAATCATGGAAGTGGACGATCCCCTGTTTGTAAAAGACTAGTTAAAAGACTATATAGTGAGTCCCAAGACCCAGTAAAACAAAAGACCGGGTTGTACTGGGTCTTGGGACTTGTAGGGGTAGCCCGGTTTGTCCTCCTTTGCTTTGCCTCCGACGCTATCGGCTGCAGGCCTGCAGCCGATGGAAGTGTCTTGGAGGCCACAAGTCAGTGACTGAGTTGTTCCCGCTCTGGGGACCACCAAGGCCTTTCATCCGCTCACACTGAGCAAGGGCCTAGGGAAAACAAATGAACTGTCATTTCATTATAGACTATAGACATTGGATTTGCAGATGAAACCGCGACAGGGCTTCAACCCTTTCAAACTAGGGTTCCTCCTACATGAGTGCATGTGCCGCTTGCTGTGTTCGTCCTGCAATCCATGTCTAACGGTTTTCCTTCCCTCCTGCAATGGTTGTCTTCTAAGTTAAAGTTTTGGAAAAGGTTGACCACTCTTTTCCTGAATGTTCCTCAACAATGGTTGCGGGTGTTTGAAGCACCACCAACTGGCCAAGTCAGTTTCTTGACCTTTGGTCAGGGCGGCTAGGGGTACTCGCGAGTACTTGGGTGTGTGTTTTCAGCCACTTTCCAGACGCCGATGCCATGAGGACGGGCTGTGCTATGTGAGGCACCCTGACTTGCCGATGGCAGAAGCACAAGGCGTGAAGTGGACCCAACCTGGCTTCATCGTGGCCATGCCCAGCGCCGTGGTTTTCCTCGGCTTTCTGGCCGGGGCGGTGGCCTGGCTGATCGACAGGGTTAGCGAGAACTGACTGGAGCTGTGCTATGCCTGCACTTGTTTTGACCATTCTTCACATTGATGTTTGATGTTCACTAGAAAGTGGAAGTGGAACACCCTAATTACACAAGTGCTTCTGTCAGTCAAACCCTTGTTTGTCCACCAGGGCGGGTCCTAGCACGGTCATACCTGGCATGAATGTTTGGCTCGACCTTCGTCTCAGGTCTACGTTTGTTGTTCCGTGCCACCCAATGCCGATGTGGCGCCTCGGGACCGTCACTGATGGCCGAGGAGGAGAGGATCCAGTGGAGGGGGGGGGGCAGAGGTGTCCAACGCACGGTTTTGCAGATGGTTGTTCCATAAAGGGATTGATCAATGGTCAATTTACCTGTGAACCAATGGACCCCTACAAGTCCAAAGACCCAGTATAACCAGGTCCTTTAGTTTCTTGAACAGTGTTTTTGCATGACCAACTCCAGTAAAATGAGGTCATTGACTTGTAGGGGATATATTCAGGTATAGTCATGTCGCAACAATCCATTGCATTCGTCTCTTGATTCGGGAGAATCTTCCGGAGTCGGTGGGGCGGTTTGACTCTCCGGCTTGGACTTTCTGCCCGGAGCGACGGCTCGAAAACGCCCCGTTGTCCGAACACGGCAAGTTGTGTTCCCTGAGGAATCAGGGTGTGACAGTGTGCCTGGGAGAGAAGGCCGATTTTGGGCCCTAAGAGTTGGTCAGAGTCGGTGTCCTATGGCCTACACCCTTCATTGGTACGCGCGCTTAAAGAAACCATGGTTTCATATTTGGCACTCTTTGGTTGATCCAGTTGATTTTTGCATTAGTGAGGCCAATGAAGTCATGAACCATAGATACAGTCGCCTTGTCCACAGCAAGTAGTTAGATTAGTTAGGGGATTTGAAGCGCCAGTCACCTGTCAGGCCGCAGGTTGTCGACCTGATCGGTCTCCTTGCCAATGCATGTCGGCCCCGGTCTGATTTCTTGAGAGAGTGCCGGCGGCCGTGTGGCCCCCGAAATGTCCAGGTACAATATATTAGACGATTCATTTTTAGAATCTTCGCATGTTCTCACCGGGCCCCGTGTCCCACAGACAAACAGACAGAGACACAGCGAGAGACACACAAAACTAAGAAATGCAAAAATGCATCCACTTTGATGGTCCCACAGCCATCTCTTTGAACGAGTATGAGAACGCCGGAATGAGGACTCAATGTGATTCAGACTGTTTGAGTCGCCCGCCGCCGAAATAGGGGCGCAACATGAAAGCTGGGCGAATGCTGAAATCGGTATGGATTCCTGGCAAGTGATATGGTTTCAGGTTTAGTTCGATTGTTTGGCCAGCGGAAAACTGTGTGGCACTGCCTCACAGGAGCTCACAACATCTCAGGTTTGGATAGGTCAAATGGATCATGTCGTGCATTCCAGCCCCCTGAAGTGGGTTTGTCATGGTTTGTCTTCATGATGTACTCTAGACATCTTCAGCTGGAGAAACATCCAGCACAATCCTGTCAGTGCGCCCACTGAGCGTGAACCCGCGGTGTTGACCCGCTCCTGTCCCTGCCTCGTATCACTGAGTGATCAGGGCTGACCAGGCGGGGTGCCGGACAAAGTGCCGGAGTAGACTTAGATGGACGACTTGACACCGCTGCTAGCGGGCCAAGTCAACGAAAGGCCGAAAGGCTCATGGCAAAGCTCCGTGACAAAAGAGAGTTTTTGGGGGGCTGGGCTTGGAAAGGAACAGAGACGCAGGTTTCAGGATGCCCTTTCAATCTCCAGAGCTACAATTTGTGAGGAGTGGGGGTCCAAGTTTCGGAGAGGTTCATATGACCTGAAGGGTTGATGGAAGCAACTATAATCACACTCCTGGCTTCACTATAATACCATATAGATCAATACAGATCAATCAGTTCAATCATGTTCAATCATTTCTGCGGAACTTGGTCCTCTTGCGGCCGAAACCCCGACTCCACATGGCTCAAATCCAAGAAGTCAAAAGGCCAAAAGACTTGCCATCCAAACTCCGGGTCTCCCATAGGAACTCCGGGTCTCCCGGCGATGACACTGTCGACATCACATTCGACTATGAACAAAGCACCCCAAGGGTCCAGGTGCAAACTGGTTCATCCACAAAACTGGTGGCCTGGGTGTTTCTTCGTGATCCACATGCAGTTTTTGTCAAACCGGACCGACGGTCCGACGTTGGCCAGGAGGGGTACCGGGCCCATCACCTTTTTCTCGAACCGCCGCGGTGGGTGCAAAAAGGAGTCAGCCTTGTTGCGATCGGCAAGATGGAGCCACCAGCCATATCCCCTAGGGCTCCAACCACCTCCTGAGAAGGTGGTTGGGGTGGGTTTGGGGGGTCTAACCACCTTCTGAGGATATGGTTGGAGCCCTAGGGATCCAACTCGAAAGGCAAAGAGTTCTTTTGCTACTATAGGTCGGTCGCCGGAGGACGCGCCATACATGTATTCGGAGGAAATGCATCATTTGAGATGGGCTTGAGCCGGAATGTTTTGAATCACATGCTCAAGGCCTGGATGAACCATCGTCCATCGCTCCCAGCTCGATGGCTCTCTTTGAGACGCCCTTGGGCTTCGCAGATGCTGGCATGGGTCTGAAGGGAGTAACCCGACCAAACATGAAGAAGCAGGAGGTGTTCGCATGTCCAGGCCCTGATCAAGAGGGTGTGGTGTTTCCGCTCTCAACTGTCCTATTATTTGGTGAGCCGGAGGTGATTTCTGCTGTGCAGCTGATTTGGGCTCAAGAGAGTTGGCCCAATGCAGAAGCCAAACGTCAGGCAGAAGCCGAATCTCGTGAATCGGTTGCCGACAGAGGGATGAATCACATGACATCTCCCTGATGGTCAAATATGTCCCATTTGTGATTGTGTGTGTTGTTTTTCCATGTTTTTCCATTTGGGGTATTCTTTGAACCTTTGTGTGGCAGGATCTGATGGTCGATTTGGCGGAGGTCATCTCAGATGCCTTTTGCTTCAATATTTTTCGATGTGCCAAATTCTCTTATCGCTGGATGGAGTTCGGCCACAACCAATCAGACCAATCCCCAAGACCTTGGTAGATCAAGATCCTTGCCATTGTTTGTTGGTCGTTTCTTGGGGGGGGGCGTTTGCCTCAATCTAGATAGAAATCACCCCTAGCAGCTGCTGCAACAAGGAAAGGTCACAATGTTCGGAGAAAAAAGACCTGATAGCAAGAAACTGTTTCAGAGACAGGCACCAATCAGCAGTGTAGCGGACAATCGAGGGTTGCGATAGATTTTGCATTTAAATGGGTTCAAGCAGACCAGTAGCTAGCCTGTTCATTTGTAGTTAATTAGACATTGACATATTGAATGCTCTCGAGTTATATAATGGATAGACAATAGATTGTAAACATTTTAATTTTCCAGCCACCCTGGGACTTCTTTTTTTGCATGTAGGACTTCCGAATCAGCGACGGAAGCATGTATGTATTTGTTGAATGGTGTTGTGGTTTTGACACGATTTGTTGCAACATGTATTCCATTACAATCCACAACCAGAAAACAGGTCAGATAGGTGATAGGTGAGTGAAGAGACTAATCTCCCTAGCACACGATGCCTAAATTGGATGGGAGACTACTTGTGCCACAATTTGATGATCCATGGTGATGCAAGCTGTATTCATGTGTATTCATTGCCTTTCTGTTGAATGTGTTTGATGGCTACTGCTGAATCGACTAAGGTTCTTCTGAGAAGCTCTAGCGTGACGGTCGTGGAAGATGCCATTGCAAAGGGTGGCAATGTAAACGCTTCCAAGGAGCTCGGATTGGTTGGGCTGGAGAAAGTCAACTGGTGTTGGCGAGGTTTTGTTGGTGGATGATGCCCGTTTTTTTTCTGAAAAGCAGCCAGTTGCCGGTTGAATGTTTGCTTTCATCCCCACGGTGAGGGTCAAAAGATCGAGGACGCATGTTCCCTCAAACCTACATTGGCCTCAAACCCAAGAGCGACGGCCTCCAACCTACTAGCTTACTAGCGACGGCCTCCAACCTAAGAGCATGAAAAACGTATGCCGGGAGGTGCCTTTTCTGCACATCTTCCAAGAGTTGTCCGCAACATGTCCAGAAAAGGCAAGGTATGGGATGCCATGTGCTTTCCTCAGTGGTCTCCCTCACACCTCTCCAGGACTCGGTGTCCGTCCTTGCCCAGGCGGTTCAGGTGATGACAACGGAGTGGATCGGTTCTCGGGGCGGTGTTGAGGGCGGTATCAGTGGCGGTTCTCGGTGCAGAGCCATGCAGAACTCAATGAACTTAGTACTATAGGAATTAGCGGACGTCAGACCACGAAGATAACCGGAAGATCATTGTAAAACAAAAATGTGCCAGCGAAATAGTATAACTTTGTTTTACACAATATTTATGTACATTGAAGCAGATCCTGAGCAATTCAGATTGACAATCGATGAATCAAAGGTATGTTTCAATTAGGGGGCCGCCGTTGGTTCCTAGACCAGGGCCAAAAAAAAAAGCTATGGGTACACTGTTTCTCCCATAGTGCCTATGCGTACATAAAAGGCCACAAAAGTTTAATCGGAATGAACGCACTTGGTACCCCCAGTACGGAGTGCTCTTTTGGATGACTCCTCCATGTTTCTCGATCTCCAGCTGTGAGCGCAGTGAGCCCCCAAAGCGACTGCACCAAGTCAGTGGGGAGGTGATGTAAGCACCTAGGGCCTAGGTAGTGGCCTAGGTGCTTACGACTCCAAACAGCTCTTCCTTGGAGCCCCGGACAGCAGGCGAAGCACGCTGAGCTCGTCCGAGTGCTTCTGAAGAATCGCGCCTCGCCCACGACGAGTGACAAGAAGGCACAGGGGCAGCGGGACGGTTCATCTACCGAGAAAGAATGGTCCATTTGCAGAGGAAGTGAGTTCCAGGACCTTCAAAGTGACCGAACTTGAGATCCCATGAGCGCACAGGCCTGTAAATGGCCACAAACAGAGACTCCAAAGAGGTCACGTACTGAAGGTCACTGGTTTATGGATGTTTATGGACTAGGTGGGGATTTGGAATGATTTGATCCACACCTCACCCGACCCGACGCTGACGCGACGCCCCATCCCCAGCCCCACCGCTGCGAAGCGAATACGGACGTCCGGGACCGTACGCTTTCACCGGGACGGTCGAGACGGCGAGGGGGTCACTCCATTACACCTCGCGACCTTCGATGGCTCCTTGGAGATCTTGAAGAGCCTCATCAGCAGCAGGCGGAGACCCGGTTCCCGCGCCGGTGAAGACGAGGCCCAAAGGGCTCTCCCCTTTGGCACCCTCCCTGGCGGTCATTTGTGTTTGGGATTTGTTTGTTGAGAGAATGGATGATATGGATGGAATATCAACTATGGAGCGAGGACGCGAGGACGGAATATGTATGAGAGGGAACTGTCTTCACCAACAGCATGGTCTTGTAAGGAGCAGGGTTGCGTGCTGCCCCTCACATGCATACCCGCAGTTGACAAGTTGATGTGATCAACGAAGCAGCAACCCATTCCATGGGTGAAGATGTTGTCCGCATGTAAACATCCTGTAACAGTCAGTCAACAAGTATCACTGGTTTGGACAAGGCCTTTACTAACCATCCTCATCCACTGTTACTGTACTATAGGATAGGCCCAATAGTATTGCCATAGTGACCCATCCCGACCCTCTCTCCCTCGCTCTACCAGGGCCGACCTCGAGGCGAAGGACTGTTTGGGGCGCCCAGGGCCGAAGATCACCCGTGGCGAAGAGACCCCGACCCGAGACATCCTGAAGATCGGATGGCTCAAGGATTGGAGCGCAGTCAGCGAAAGACTTCAACGTCTCTAGATCTATGTGGTGACCTTCCAAGAGAGGTATCCAGTGACTTGAACTAGGACCCTACTGGGGTACCGAACTGGGATAGTCTATAGGGTCATTGAGATCACAATGGAGATGTTGAAGTAGCGGTAGTGGTGATATATCTTCGATCCATAATACTTCAATGGATAGCGGATGATGGACCACAATGGATGGACCACAATGGAAGATGTGGTGACCTTCTGCCACAATGGAGGATGTTGAAGCTGGATTCGCGGGAAGTCATTGGTCCTTCCAGCCCACCTACGCCCCACGCAGGCTTCCCACACATCTTGCCCATCCGAAGGGAGGAGTGCACCGAGACGGTGCGATGTGTTTGGCGTATTTCACATATATCGCCAACGGCAGATATATTGGTCTCCATAGTGTTTACCGGCCCCTAAGTTAGGGGCAAATTTGGCGTGTCAAGACTCTGGGAATAGTGAAAAAGAAAACTAAGAAAAGCTAGACAAGACTATGGAGAAAACACACACGGGAAAAGTGTGTTCTTTGGGTGGTCCAGGAAGGGGGGCGAGGGGGGGCGGGGGGAGTAAAACAGGGGGAGCAAACCGGGGGAGCAGACCGGCAAGGAGTATGCTCCGTTTGCAGTTGTGTTCATGCAGTTGATTGCACATTTGTGCTTTGTTCCAATGTTTGGTCAGCCCTTCTCTTTCCAAGAGCCTTCGTGGCTGATACCGAGACAAGCTGTACAGCCAGCGAGTTTGGTGACCACAGTGCAAGTTCTTTCTCGTCTATGTATAGTCCGTTCCATAGACTCAGCCGCCCCCCAAAGTGGGGGGGGTACTTTTAGCAGTCAAGACTACAGGGCAAGTGCTTACTCAGAAAATATAAATGTCAAGGCCATCGTGCAAAGCACCAAAAAAATTGGATAACAATGTTTTTTAGTTCAAGAACACTCAAAAACACCTACAAAGGTGAAGACTATAGGGAAAGAGAGTCGACCCGTGACAAGAGGTCGCAGACAGGGGGCAGACCAGTGGAGTCCCGAATAGCGGCAGGTTGACCAGGCAACCATATCACCCTCCTATCACTAAGTAAGAAAAACAACTGACACGCAGGTCAGTTTTCTTTTCCACTAGCCTCCTGGAACCACATACCCGCCCAATTTCCAATGTCAAGACTACAGGGCATGAGTAGCCAAGAAATCCTTTAGCTTTGCGCTGAGGAACTGAGAACATGCTTGAATGAATTGTTCGTTCTCATTGTCCGTGTCCTTTTGTTTCTCCTTTTTGCACTCCTATAAAAGCGTAGTGCAAGTCAAACCTCAAACCAAATTGGCCAGAGATCTCATGGTTCCCTTCCCCCAATGGCACGGAGCCAAAAAGACTACACTTCCCACCGAGGCCTTGCCAAACCACATGGCACAGCAACGTCACCTTTCCAAACCTTTAGTTGTAAGTCGAAAAATCACTATTTTGATATAGGTTGTGGAAAGGGAAAGGGAAAGGGAACCCCTTCGATCTGGAGGTTTGCTCAATTATTTAAGCGTTTAATAGAGGATTATTATATATAAAGTTTCCTCTATAAGCAACTTTTCGGTTTTGAAGCTCTTCCCAGTTTTCGTTTTTGAAGCTAAGCTGTCTCACTCTCCTGGGCCTGTCTTGCTGCCCAATTCACACACCTGCCTGACCCGATCTGGCTGCTGACTGCCAATCCTCCTTGGCCCTAGCTAATCCCTACTGACAGAAACCCGTGCCTAAATGGATCCTATGTTGAAAGCTACCCATTTTGGGGACCCCCCAAGTTTAAAACACAAGATGCAGACACTCATTTTTTAGGGGAGGGGGCGCCCGTATTTTTTAATAGGTGGAAGGGAAAACAGGGGACGTGTGGCCAAGCCCCAGTTTGCAGGAAACTGGTTCCAACAACCAACACTGCTCCTTTGATTCCTTCATGTCTTTTTCCGCCGGCCTCCTGGCTGAAACAACAAACCCCCCAAAATGTCAAGACTACAGGGACCGCCTCCACAGAAGTCATTTGGAGCATGCTACATTGATGGCTCCTTCTCGCCATCCTTGTCCTTCTGCTTTTTCTCTTTCTTGCCCTCCTAGATCCCAAATCAAAAAGATGTATCATTGGTGTACCTCAGACATAGAGATAAACAAAGTGGACAACATGCTATTATAGAAACTGTTTCTCGAACACTCAAAAACACCTACAAAGGTGAAGACTATAGGGAAAGAGAGTCGACCCGTGACAAGAGGTCGCAGACAGGGGCAGACCAGTGGAGTCCCGAATAGCAGCAGGTTGACCAGGCAACCATATCACCCTCCTATCACTAAGTAAGAAAAACAACTGACACGCAGGTCAATTTTCTTTTCCACTAGCCTCCTGGAACCACATACCCGCCCAATTTCCAATGTCAAGACTACAGGGCATGAGTAGCCAAGAAATCCTTTAGCTTTGCGCTGAGGAACTGAGAACATGCTTGAATGAATTGTTCGTTCTCATTGTCCGTGTCCTTTTGTTTCTCCTTTTTGCACTCCTATAAAGGCGTACTGCAAGTCAAACCTCAAACCAAACTGGCCAGAGATCTCATGGTTCCCTTCCCCCAATGGCACGGAGTCAGCAGGAAACTGGTTCTTTCAACCAACACTGCTCCTTTCATGCCTTCATGTTTTTTTCCGCCGGCCTCCTGGCCAAAACGACAATCCCGCCAAATTGTCAAGACTACAGGGAATGTGTGGCAAAGAAGTCCTTTGGAGCAAATCCAAAAGATGTATCATAGGTGCGCCTTAGACTTAGAGCGAAACAAAATGGACAATGTGCTATAGAAACTGGTCCGAACCCAAATACACTGCTCCTTTGATATTGATTCCTTCATGTCTTTTCCGCTGGCCTCCTGGCTGAAACGACAACCCCCTAAAATGTCAAGACTACAGGGAATGTCTACCGCAGAAGTCCGCATGTTTCCCTTCCCCCAATGGCACGGAGTCACACAACCGCACTTCCCACCGAGGTCTTGCCAAACCACATGGCACAGCAACATCATCTTTCCCCAATCTTTAGTTGTAAGTCGAACAATACCTTTTTTGATATAGGTTGTGGAAAGGAACGGGAACCCCTTCGATTTGGAAATTTGTTCAATGTTTATAAGCGCTTAACACATGTTTTTTGTAATGTTTCCAAACGGCTACTTTTCGGCTTGACAAAGACAAGAAAGAAGAGCTTGGAACAGTTCAGCTGACCACCTTCTGATTGCCCCCCGCCCCGCCCCCCTCTCGAGGGGCAAAAGGTAAAGACGGTGCTAAGTGCACATCCATTTTCTAGTTTTGCCGGACAAGACTATGGGCCTCCCTATCGCCGTGATAGCCCGCCGAAATGTCAAGTTATTGAACCCATTATATATAATATATAACCTTGTTTGTCGTTGATGATCCATCTCTCCAAGTAAGATGAAACGTAGCGGACATAGCGATCAAAAATGAACACCAATCGAAGGGATGTGTATGTCAAGATATGTCAAGACTATTTGGAAACAGTCAGATTAGGCTTTGATGTCTTTGTGTCGTTGGTGTCAAGACTACATGGCTAACAGTGTACAATCTTAGATGCCAAGCAGTACTGCATGTCAAGACAACAGGGCTACAAGAGAGTGGATTTTGGTTGGTCTGTTTGGGGGAGCGGGGGAGCAAAGGTCAAGACCGTAGGAATCCACCCAGTTGTTGCATGTCAAGACTCTGGGAAAACCCAGTTTGTGGACCCCTCCGAAGATGTCAACACTATGGAGACCACTATATATTGTTTAAATGTAGTTTCCATGCTGCCCATGCGTTTCTGTAGCTTCCATGGCTTCCATCCACATCCAACCACGCTTCCTGTGGCGACCTGGTCGCTGTGTTGCTGTCCCAGCCCAGGCCATGGTCAAACGCCATTCTTCTTCGTCCCGAACCGGCCGGGACGCCACAAGACAGCTGTCATAGTGAGTCGGCAGAGCTATGATAGACTGAGTCCCACTCAGCAGACTGGGTGACATGTCCATTCATAATGACAGACAGATGTGTAGGCTATTGATTTAGGCGGTCACACAGATTACGGACCTCGACAAAGATTACGGACACATTGATAGGCTAGGCACATAGCTCCCCCTTCCAGGCTCTTCCTTGCGGCTTGTAAAGCTGTTGCGTAGGAGCTCCGTAGCGGAGGAAAGCTGGAGCTGTTCATGGCGTGTTCCCACCTATTGCCCAGGTTGAGTTCACACGGATTAGACGTTGACTCTTGCATTTTTCAGCGTTCAAGTGATGGAACGACTGCCTGCTCGCATGCCCAAGCTTTAAGCAGGGTCGAACGTCTCCTCCTTGGGCCATCGGGCGCCAGGCGATCCTGCCTGGTGCTGGGCAACGCCAAGGCGGACCCCAATGTGCTCAACCACAAAGGCGGGGGAGGTCTCATGGTCTGAATGACTTCAAACTTCTTCAAACACATCGGAGAAACAAAACACAGATACCCAGACACGACCGGTCCATGGGATTGGCAGTCCTGACTCCCGAGAAAAGGCCAGGGGCGGTTTTTCACCTGGGGTCTGTTTGGATGTAAATATGCCAGGGTCCCATTAGTCGCGTGTGGGATATATAGTGATGCTTCCTTGTGGTAAGTATATGGCAAGCGTTGCTACTACATGTCCATTGTTGGTTGCAAGGATTTGTTCCTCCAAGCGGCCCGCTTTTTGGTGTGGACGGAGCAGCGAAGATCCCCCCCACAACTGTCCGGTCGAATAGGTCCTTTACTTGGACGCTTCACCCCTAAGTCCGTTTCACCTTCCAGTCGTCGGCTCAAAAGCGGGTGGTTTTTTCCGTGACAAACAAGTTTGACATATTTTGACATCAAACAAGTTCTGGATCAACTGGTCTGGTGGACACCACCACAGGTTCTGGCCGGTGGCCCAGCCATGCCTCTTTTCTATCGCTGATCGGTGTCAGGACAGACGCCTTTGCATTTGGCGGCTCATGCCGGTCTCAACGATGCAGCACCCTGGCCACGGTTCTCGGTCCGTTCGAAGGTAACTGGACCCTCCAAGAAGTCAAGGTGTTTGAGGTTTCAAGAAATTTGCATGTAGACTGGAATGTAGAAGATAGAAGCAGGTCGTATACAGGATACAAGTATTGTCAGTGGCATAGGCATAGGGCTTAGGTGGCTTTCATGCCTTTTCCTTTATGACTTGATCAGGATGAACATGTCCAGGGATGCTGACATATGATGATGGGTTGCTTGCCAGTGTTCCGGCATCAACAAGCAACAGGAATACCAAACCTATGTTAGTTACATGCCCAGGTCCAATGGTGTTGTTGGTGTTCCAGACCAGGTCCGTTGCCCTTCTGCTACATCATCATCGATCCGTAGAGCGGGACCAACGGATCACCCGTTTCGATCCTTGGGGCGTCGCGTGGCCCTCCGCGGCGGCGGGGCGTTCAGCGGTGGAACCTCCTCCTCCTCAGGTGCAATGGCTCGCCGAGAGCATGACCGCGAGCATGGTCGATGCCCAGGAGTGACGGTTTGACGGCTGAGGAGTGACGGCCGACGCACGGGGAGAGACAGAAGAAGCCGCCGCCGTCTTGTGCACGTAAAAAAGGCCACGATGAGTGAGGTGGTGTCGATCCGCAGGTGCTCCAAGTGGTGCTTCAAGTGGTCCAATCTGAAACTTGACCTTGTTGGAAACAATGTTTTTCTCCACTAACCACTGACCACCCTTGGGTTAAATGAAACATATGTGTACCTAGACCTTCCAAGGGGTGTCCAATGGAGATCTCTCAGTAGTGTGTGGGCTTCCATTGGTGACCCCTTGGAAGGTGCTGGTTCCGGTGCTTTCAGAGATCTACCCAGCCATCAACGATGCGTTGCAGGTCAGTTCGGCACGGCCCGGATTGACGCGGTGGCCGTTGTTTGAAGGATTTGACGATGGCCCCGAAGTCCGATCCTAACCGGTGGTGAGACTGTTTCCAGTTCGTCAGCTGGAATGGTCTGTTCTCTAAATCTAAGGAGCTATGAGTAGACACTCCTGATTTCTGGGGGGCCCTGGCATGCGTTTATTTCATGCTATCTAGATATATTTTGAAGCCAGTGTATGGCTTCATGCTGTCGGCTTGGCCCTGATATGGCTGCAAGCTACGAACAATCAACGGACTACTACGCCACGGTGAGCTTGTGAAGTCCGGCACCTAACGTTCGGATCTATACCACAGCAGGACAAGCATGGCCGAACCGCCGTCTACTGCGCGGCGCATTCGAACTTGAAGTCCACGGTGTTCTTGTGTGGCAGCTCAGCACCGCTCCGTGATCCACAGAAACAGATGTGGTTTTGGGTGGACCAGTTCCATTTGTCGGGTGGCTAGCTATGGCATGCTATGGCTAGGTTCAGGTCCAGGTACATGTCGTTTTTGCCCCAAGGCCAGGCAAAACGATGGGTCATGGAGGTTTGTTTCAGTTGAAAGGGGTGTTCCTAAGCTCAAGGGCTCCTGCCAGTTTCCGTGCTGAGGGGGTAAGCTCCTTCGATGCACCGGTGGGGGTGTACCAAGCGCCGATTCCGATTTGGATCACAAAAAGACTTCGACGTGCTTCAGGCTGCATGACAAGGGTGCAGACATCACCTTGCGCCCTGCCAAGCGAGGCTGGCAGGGGCCAACCCACGTGAAAAAGGGGAGACCGATACCGCACCCTGCGAAGACCATGTGCTTTCCACAACAGATGGCCTCTTCAGAACTCCCAGCTCCAATCCCAAAGACCTGATAAAAGCCCATAGAAACCACCAATTGAGCCAAGAGTCTTGAGGAGGGTACATGTCACAAGCTCTTACTCCGTCTAAGTCCATCAAACAGCACGTGGACCGTGGGACACCGTGTGGACCTGTGCACATGGGGTCCTGGCCCCTACGGGCCCTAAGGCCTGTCACATCCCAAGTCGAAGGTTTGGTGCGTCAATAACAAGCACTAGATACGAAGGAAAGCAGAAGCTCTCAGTTTGGGCTTCAAGCTTTGGAAGAATCCATTCGTTGCATGCGCATGTAGTTGCTTGGAAGTCCATCAAATCTCCAGTTTTGGGTGGAGTAGACCACTGGAGAGTTCGTACCTCGTAAAATGGGTCAAGTACCTTGTTTTTGCTGTCGGCTCTGAAACCGCGCTAGTAGTTGTTTGGGTTCTTGTCAATGCACTTTCTACACTTAGGTTTGGGTTTGGGTTCGGGCTATTAACGTTCTTGTCAATGCACTTTCTACACTTGCGCTACGCTTG